GTGCCTATTCTGAATTCAAGGTGGATCAGGTAATTACTCCTGACAATCCCTTATAGTTGGTATTATTCATTCACATCTCGCTTTTTTTAAGCATGTTAACGTTTGTAATCTTTCCAGATAAACTTAAGGACCGTCTTCTTCCGCCACCCACTCCTCCCACCGAGATCACAGGAGCAGAAGCTGCAGGAGAAGATATACCTAACAATGAACTTAGTGACGACTCGGAAGAGGGGGGCATTGGCTACCACCTTCTGAGGCAGGCTGCTGGTCAATTATTAGAGGTAGGTTCCGTCATTGGCATAGAAAGGGGGCAAGAAAAGACGGGAAAAAGGGAACGAATCCCCCTTCCCTCTAAATTAGATTTTCCATTTAATTTCTTAGAGAAAGTTATATATYTTTTATGTCGTGATAAAGAAAAGCTCTTTGTGTACTCTGGATATCTGATGGGGTTCCTGTGGATCTGGCGGGAACTTTCGCACCAAAAAGCACACGCTCCGCGCGCGCCCGGCCTTGCTTCCAACACAACTCTTGCGATATATTTGGGTTCGTTTTTGTTCGATAATTTTGCTCTACAAAGATGGTTATAAGATATAAAACTAAACTACCTGTAAACAATGGTATTGTTGTTTTCTTAGGAAAAGGGAAGGCCAGGAGAAGAAGACAATGCTCAAAAAGACTTGTTGGGAGCTGGCAGGATGCCACTCTTGGAAATGCTGTTACTACAGGCACTMGGAGAAGGAGGAGGAGACGACAAAGAATTACCTGGAGGAGTGAGTAGACAAAAGATACTATTGGACTTGCACTTACACGTTATATCAGACAACATATAAAAGCAGGAAAAAGTTTAGGCCAAGATTAGGAATTGAAAATAATAATATAGTAAATATTAGACAGAAAAGATTCACAAGCGGATAAAGGTTGTCGACATCTGTCGACATGAGGTAAAGACGAATTTCGAATAAAAAATACTGATCAGTCTATCCTTACTACGATAAGATCGTTGTAGTCAGAAGTTCTGTTGTAGTCTATGACTAAATGCTAAAGCATTTATCGTATTTATTCCTTTCCTTTTCAGCTCAAGAAAGGAGATAAAGTTCGCGTTGTTGAGGGTGATGTTGAGAGGGCAAAAAAGCTTCAAGAAAATTATGGTGGTTGGAGCGAAGCAATGGAACAGGTGAGACTGAAGTCAGCAAATGAACGACCTGAATGTTTGTTTGCCTGTTTTGGCTTCTAAAAACCTGCATTTGTAATTCTATTTTGACAGTACCTTGGTAAAGAAGGTGAAGTTCAAGGGAAGGTTCTTCATGTCATCAAAGTCAAGTTCCCGGATGGAGTTTCGTATGTACATGCTTGACGTTTTACTCATTCATGCTAATCAACGGGCGCTTTTTCCAAAAATTTCAAGATATGACAGAATAATTAAGAACCCCCCGAATGGGAAAGAAAAAATGTTTAATTACTTTTATGGGACTATTTTTTTCTGAGGTCCCTATGTCTATTTCATTACATTGTTGACATTATTACTATTTTGCTATTACTACATTACATTGTTATTATTATTATCATCATCATCATCATCATTATTATCATCATCATCATTATTATTATTATCTAAATGACTATCAGGTGGTCCTATAACCCTTCCTTACTCGAGAAAGTAAACTCTGACGGCTCTAGCACTCCTATTGTAAATTCAAGGAAGTCAAGACGGGAAGAGGTAACCGGCCATACCTTAGTGCTTGTTTATGATGACATTCATTTACGTCAAATATTCAATTTTTTGTTTGGTGTACCTCGACTGATTTCTACTTTTGCAACCGAAACTTGTGTCTCAAAACAAGTTTCAGGACGAAATTGCGTAGTGTAACAACCCCGTGAAACTTGTCTCGCAACAGCGTTGCACGCAAGTTTCAGCTAAAAGTTTCAATGTGAGTGTAACAGGGCATTAATCAAAATTTATCTCTGTATCAGTATCTTAAAAATAAAAAGCTGCAACATATAATTACGATTTTTCCAGGTCGTTCGAGGGCTGTTCCATAGATTTGATGTGGTCCAAATACCGAAGGAACAGAGTGTGATGGAATTATTGCAAGATGGACACGGTGGATGGAATGATAGAATGAAACTCGTATGTATGATTGTGATTCAGCCATGGTATTGCTTGACTGTTTCCAGGAAGGCTTATGTATGTTAACTCTGTTCTTCTCCTTGTTCCGCTGCTAGAAAAAAGATGTTCGATCCTCTTTCTAGAAAGTGAAGCCTTAAAACAAAAAGTTAATCAGAAACGCAAAGTATATAAATGGGGTTTTCATATAGCCAAATAGCAAGAGAATATGAACTAACAGAAGGAATCCTACCTATATAGCCTTGTAACTATCATGTGAACAGTTTGATGCTATTTTTAGCTTGGAGATATTTTGCGCGATGAACCTGATTGGTTGATTTCTTGAGGGTACACGGCTTCCAGTGTTGCAGTAAACRAAGCCTCTGTTTTTGTCGTGGACGTAGCGAAATATGGCGCTTTTCGTGTCCTAAAACGAGGCATCAAAGGGAAGCATGATTATCGCAGAGGCAACGAGTTAAAATTAGCATCAATGATTCTAAAAATAGCATCAAAGTGTGCACATGATGGAGCACGGGGATTCCTTCTCTTAGTTCATTTTCTCTTGCAAATAGCCAATGACATCGTTTTGTTAATCAACCGTGTTATGGTTTTCATTCCAGTGTCTGGGGATCAAGGGATTGGTGAACAAAGTGGACAAAGATGGAGACGTGTTTGTGGAGTGTATTAACGGTGATGAGTAAGTAAAATGAAGTTGCCGTTGATAAACACAGAATGTACTCGTGCAGTGATGAAACGTTTTGCCAAATATTCAGTGTCTGCCGATGATGACAAGTACAGCTGTTAACGATAAGGTATATACGTTTTATGGTCAGTTCTATTYTCTAATCKTGTGAAATTGAACTTTGCAGTTGGACTTTTAACCCCGAATTGCTGATCAAGGTGGAGCCCGATCCCAGTGCCAAGAAAGAAGCTGGGGATTTTGTGTTAGTAATGGACGATGTGGAGACTGTGAAGCAGCTTCAAGTCAATCATGGTGGATGGGTGAAAGGCATGGAAAAGGTAAACACTGATTAATTAATACAGGTTCAATCRATTGATTGAAAATTCTAAAAGTATTGCATGGAAACGTTGTCATTTGCAGTGCTGTGGCCATACTGGGATCATCAAGGCTGTTCTACCGAATGCTCGTTTGAGGATTGAAGTGGCTCATGACACATGGATCTTTAATGAAAATGCTATTAAACTAGTAGCCAAGGGAGGTAAGAACAGTTGTATGGGACAGGATGGTGGGTGGGTGGGTGGATGGATGGGAATGGATGGATGAATGTGAGGGCGAAGAGTCTAGATGATCAGAATAGTATGAGTGATCGGACAATATTGATTGATAGACAGCATGAATGGATGAGTGGATAGTTAGGTAAATGGATGAATGCAAGGATAGATAAATAGGTGGTATGGATGTAGATATGATAAGAGTGCAAACAATATATCTGTGAAA